GAACCTACGGTATTTGTTGCAGAATATACATCCACTTGCTGGTGAATAAATATTAAGTGTGGAAATACCACTAATGAAATATACCTTGTAAGCTATTCATCAATAGCGGTCTCATATTATTAGATTGTTAAGAGAACAAAATACCTTGAAATGATGAGCCTAGTGCTTGGCAAGTACTTCTAGCTTGCGTGAACTTGACACTATCATGAAAGAGTTCTCAACTAAGATTGTATGGCTTACTGCCTCCTCCACAACAGTAGCCAACAGATTTTCATGTTCACAATTGAGCTTGTCAATTCCATTGAATGGAATTACTTTTTATGCAGCATTAGTCAAAAAATTGTTATCAAGGGTAAACCTATGAGTCACCAAACTCTCGGTATGGGATAATTTATTATTTTGACGTCTCTTTTTGGCAGAGGAAAGAATTCTTGCGGAACCAATATTTTGACTACTCTGTGGTGGAAACACATATAAGCGAGTCCATTACATGCTGGAAAAAGTATCCCTGAATTGTTAAACATGGTATAAATAACGCATATATTCTCTTAGAATAATAGCTGTTCACTGTAATAATTTCATGTAGTATGTGAATTTTTAACTACTTAAATGATATGTAGAAAAATTATGAATAATTGCAATAACAATGTTTCAAAAGAAACTCTGGAAAGCTTATTGGAACATTTCTGAGGATACTAATGTAAATTCTTTATAAATTGCCTTGCTATAGATGAACTTTTTTTTGGGGGGGGGGGAAATAAATTATTACCTACAAAAACAGTAATTGTTTCTTTTAACATTTAACTGAATAGATATATTAAAATGCAAGTTTGTGACAGCATTTGGTCTTAATGTGATTGTTTCCAAATGCGACAATTGGTATTAAAAGATGAAAATGATATTGGCTATTTGTGAATGTTGATGGATATTTTTTCTTTGCAAAGTACTAACCAGAAACCTGGATTACAGAAAACCTCCAGGAAGAGGAAGAATGTAACAAATACCTCTACTATGCCTATAGATGTCCCACCAAGTGTTTCAAAAGTACGTAATTCTTAATTTAAATAAAAGTAAACCTTTGTAGCAGTAAATATGCCTTGTCTTGAATGAGGAAAGCTTAGTGTAATAATGACACTCATGAAATTTATCTTGAAGGTCTTTTTTCCAACAATGTTGTTCCCATGTTTTCAAAATGCAAAAAAGAAATGAATATAGAATGAATCATGAAGATCAATAAAACTGAAGAAAAATATTGTTGTGTCATTGTTAAACTCAAAAAACTTCCAAAGTTTATTCATAGTAGAAATATTTTAGAAGAAAATTTTTAATTTATGAAAGGGTCATGTCTAGGGTGTTACAAGTAATAGAAATAAATAATTATTTTTTAGCTTAAAACGTAAAATGATATAGTTATTAAAAATATGTATTTGTAATACTCAATTTTCTCTCTCAAAAAACACTCAGGTGCAAAAATTGGAAAAAAGATTGGAGAGAAGTGAAGAAAGGAACAAAAATGTAGCCACTGGTGTACCATCAATCCATACCGTGCTCCAACCTCAAATTAGTAATCAAATACCTTTGAGCAAAGATGTTAAAACTACAGTATCTAAAAATAAAATGGAAAAAAATGCTGGTTTATTAATTACGGATCCTATGCTTCTCTTTTATGATACACCTGATCAGGACAATGAAGTATGTATTATATTTTCTCTGATATATTTGCTCATTCTAAAAGTGAAAGTAGATGTAGAAATATAGTTGTGTAGTTGATCTATAAGTTGTGGTCTCACATTTCTAGGAGACCAAGGTAAACAGAAAAAGATTTTGAGGTAATGGAAGAACCTAAACAAAATTTTTTTAACTGGCCAGGAGATATTTCATTATTGCATTGGTATTGTTTCAGAAAGTTTCTTTTTTGTTGTTGGTTGAATGACAAACAATTACATGCATGTTTTTCAATTACTGGAAGAGATTTTTACGAGCAAATGTTATCAGTTCCAGGCAGAAAAAATTTAATTGTACAATGTCACTCATGTAATGTCTCTTTAATGCCATTTTCCATCAATAATGTTCTCATGTTATCAATTGTTAGTGAAAAACACAATGCCTTAAGAGTATGAGCCATGTGTTTGCAAGTACAGTTTGTACTTCCTTCCCTCCTGAACGTGATTTTAGCTTTGAATGCACTCGCAACAAAATGATGCTGCTTGGTGCCTTCTCCATACATTACCCAGGGAAAAGTACAGCGGATTTCCATCTTTTATCGATAAGCTGACAGATTCCACAGAAATGAATCCCTCCTTATGCAACCTTTGACATGTGTGTGAGGATAAAACAAATAAGTCACCAGATTTAAAGCATAAGATAATTCATTATTTCGTCTTCTGACTCCTACTTATAGAGGCTTAGGGGGCTCAGGGTATCAATTAATGATACTGCAGTGCTTCTGATCGAGAGGTCTTGGGTTGGAGAGCTTAAGGAGGCAGGATTTTTCATACTGGCTACATAGGTGAGTGGTATTCAGCACAGTCTGGAGAGGAATTCAAGCATCTGTTTACACTCAACAGTGGTTCTCTATGGTTTCTCCAATCTACACCACATGTATGCCTGAACAGTACCCAAACGAAAGGGCCATGGACCGTGTGCAATATGTCATTCCTCTTGCTTGTCTTATCCTCACACCTTACTAACACACACACACACACATGCATTCAATACACTTCCGTACATGCTGGGAGACCAATTGAGAGCTTACAGCTTGTCCAGGGTGGGGAGGTGCCATGCTAGTGTGTGATACCAGGTTAGGGAGAAACCCTGCAAGCCCACGGGCAGATCAGTGCCAGATCTTGCCATCGAGTGGGAGATCACTGCAACCTCCCATGATAAAAATAAGCAGTACACTTATGGGACTAATAACCTTCAGAGTCACTTCACAATCATACACAAAATGGTTCTTCCCAACTGGGATTATTTGCATTAAAAGAGTTACATTAAATTTAATGTTTGAAAAAGATGATGTACATAATTTCTTTGCAGTGTATTAACCAGACACCTGGATTACAGAAAACCCCAGAACAAAGGAAGAAAATTAAAAATAACACTACCGAATCCACAGATGTACCCCCATGTGTTTTAAAGGTATGTACATTTTAATTAAGAAAAAAAGGAAATAAACCTTTGTAGCAAGAAACATGCCTAGGTCTGAATGAAAAAAACTTAATTGTAAATATGTGACTTTGAAATAGATCTTCAAAGTCCATCCATCAGTCATGTTTCCCTGTGATGGAAATGCTAAGATAAAACTAAAAGTTGAAAGAACCTTAAGAAAAATGGAATCAAAGAAAATTATTGCAAAACGACATTCTGTTATCTATTAAAAATTTTCCAAAGTGAATATATATTAAGTAGAAATGATTAAGCGTAAGAAAAATGTGTGTGTAGAGTAAAAAGAATAGAAACATATGACTGTTAATGTGATAAAATGTAAAATGGAATAGAATTATAAAAAAAAGAGCATTTGTATTAATCAATATTTTTCTACCCAAAACGCCCAGGTGAGAAAATTGATAAAAGACTATGAAAAAAGTAAAAATAGAAAAAAGAATAGCAATGTATCCAGTCATGTGACATCAATTACTCGGACATTGAATAAATCTGCACGTAATAAACAAATACCGGTGAGCAAAGATATTGAAGCTACAGTATCTAAAAAGAAGAGGGAGAAACATGATGGTTCATTCATTAAGGCTTCTTCATATCATGTTTCTGGAACATCGGACCAGAAAAATGAGGTATGTATGTTTTCTCTGAAACGTTTGTTCATTTTAAAAGTGAACATTTTGTGAAATTTTAGTTGATAAGCTGTTGGTTTATCAAGGGAAAAGAGAAGAAACTTGACATCATAGAGAAGCACACAGAAAATATTCCCAGCTGTCCAAAGATATTCCCTGATTATATTGGTTGTGTTTCAGAAAGTGTCCTGCTTGATTCTGAAGTGAATGTTAGGAATGTAACATGAATATTTTTGAACCTACAGTATTTGTTGCAGAATATTCATTCAAATGAAAGAGCTTATTAAAAAATGTATGTTTAATAATCTAAATTTCCCCCCTGAGAAGAGGAAACTGGAAAGAAACAATGAGAGAAATAAAAGTGAGGAGAGAAACAGAAATATTTTTTTCAAATGAAATAATTCCCCATGTAAATATTGACAATATTTCTTCAGATTTAACTGAAAAAATATAAATGAGATAGAAGCAGGGCACCACAATGAGTCACAATATGGATGTTGCCAAATTGGAACGTAGGCAAAAATGAGAGAAATAATCTTGAATATTTGTGAATGATGTTATTTCTTTGCAGAATACTAATCAGGCACAAGAACTACAGAAAACCTCGAGGCATATGAAGAATGATAAAAATACCACTACCTTGCCTGCAGATCTCTCGACAAGTATTTCAAAAGTAAGTAGACCAAAATTTAATATAAATAAAGTATACCCTTGTAATAAGTTCAGTTCTGAATGAAAAAGGGTATTTGTACAAATGGATCTTGAAAATCGTTTTTCCATCAATCATGTTCCCAAATTTTCAAAGTGCTAATAAAGTAGAAAGAACATTAAAGAAAAATAAAACTGGAGAAATTATTGTTTTGGGTCACTGATTTTACTCAGGAAACTTGCATAGTAAATATATTTTTAGTAGAAAGTATTAAATCTATAAAAGCGTGCATTGTGAAAAATAATAGAAATAAGTAATGGTTCATGTAAAAAAATGTAAAATGAAAGAACTTTTTAAAAATATGTAATTTGTAATTATCTATTTTTCCTCCTCAAAAACACCTAGAAGAGAAAATTGGAAAGAAACAATAAGAGAAAAAGAAGAGAGGAAAGAAACAGAAACTTATCCACTGATGTGTCATCAATCACTCACACAGTGCATAAATCTCAAATTAAAAATAAAATATCATTGACCAAGGAGATTAAAATTATCCTGCCTAAAATCCAGATGGGGAAACATTCCAGTTTATTAATTAAGGATTCTTCTCAACATATTCCTGAAACATCTGATTTAGCAAATGAGGTATGTACAATGTTTTTTCTGATAAATTTTTCATTCACAAACTTAAAATTTATGTAGAAGTTTATATGTGTAGTCTACTTACAAAATAGTTGTTGGACGTTGCTGTGAGACATAGGTAAATGGGAAAAATATTTGAGGTAATGAAGCAACACACAAAACATTTCTGGCCATCCATGAGGTATTCCCTATTGCTATTTGGTAATGTCTTAGAATGTCTCCTAACTTAAACTAATCCTGACATTTAACTTTGCTATAACCTGAGCAGTGACAAGCAAATCTAACAATCAAAAATTAATAAAAACAGAAAACTGCTTCTTACTGATATCATTTAGACTTCCTGTAATGATAAACTACAACAGACTCCGTCAAAAATTACTCTTATTGATATATTACTCCTATTGATAAGGACATATATGACACAGCACAAATAGACTCTGATAATACATTGCAAAAGACTCACTTCACTGCCTTTCTTCAAATCCAATATCACCAGCATGTATTAAATAAATTGACCTCTCCATATAAGAATTCTTATCCACCCTTTCGATATTCTACAGCTTCCTCTGCTTAGCACTTAATTACTCCTCTGCCTACCACTCACCCACCTACACTGGCCACAAAACTCTGGAAAAACTTCTCCCCTAACAAAACAATCCCTCTAAATTCTCTCTGTAAAATCCCCCTCTTCTCGCCCTACCTTCCCTTCCCTATGAACACTGTCGCATATGGGGTAGCAAGAGATTCCTTCCCCCTTCCACTCCCATTTCTGTTTGCCGCATACTCCAGCATCATTCACCCTAACTGGGAAGAGCTTAAATGCAGGCCCAGACAAAGCAAAACAACCAAAAAAAGAGAAAGTGTCCTGTTTGTTGCTGGTGGGAATGACTAATGTTCCTACTTTTGAAAATACTGAAGAGTTTCAATTTAGGAAAAATTTCAGGAAATATGACCAGTTCTGAGCAAAAAAGAAATTAATTTTACAAATGGCATTAATCTAATTAATCTGGTAAGCTATTTTCCTATCAATAATGTTCCCAAGTTACTGAAAGGTTTAGATTTAGATTTATTCAGTCAAAAAACAGTAAAAACTGTATGTGACATAGGTGGGAAAAGATTATCTGTGCACCCTTTCTTGAGTTCCAGAATCTCTTCTTTTTAACTACAAATAGTTGAAAGATGAGTAAAAGTTTAACATACATAAATAAAAATAAATTTTAAAAATCACAAGATTAGCAATATTTGAAAAATAGTCATTTTCATTTCTGAGTTATAGAAAACCTATTTGCATCGGTACACGAATTGCAAGTATTTATTTTTCTGCATTGCTAACAAAATAGCAACTCGCCCTTACCTCTACTCTTACCATTACAAGAAAAAGGAGAGTTCCAACTATATGTGCGCATAGTGAAGCTACATTTACGTCCAGAAGCAAAACGAGGAGCCATCTCAGCATTTGTTCAATGGATCAGGGAAACTGGACAAAAACATGATCGAGATGGGGGTCATTGACCCAGAAGCTGAAGTACATTATTTGTTACAAACATATTAAATCTTTTAAAAAAATTATACAATACAAATGTAAACTAATTTATTATAAATCACTGTGTTGTTAAAATAAACATTATTTTTCTTTTTGATAACCAGTATAGTCTCTAATTGTATGGAAACAGTTATGCAGCAGAAAAGATTTTACTTCAAACTTAAATTTGTGAACTGACTTTAATTGTTTAATGTCATCTGGCAGTGCGTTGTAAAGTAACGTACATGAATTGTATGTGAATTTCTGATAGTGAGCTGTTGATACTGACACTTGATGAACATGATTTTTACGATGTGAGTTGTAATTATGAATATCAGCATTGCATGAAAATATGTTCCCATCGTTAAGTAAGTCACTTTTGACAAATATTACAGATTCGTAAATAAATAGGCAAGGCAGTGGTAATATTCCAAGCTCAATGAAGAGAGGCCCGCAAGAGTAACGCGAATGGCATTTTTTAATTATTTGAATGATTTTCTTTTGTAATCTGAAAGTCTGAGTACTACATGATGAGTTTCCCCAGAATTTTATACCATATCTTAGATGGGAATGTACATTTGCAAAATACATGCAATGAGCTGCATGAAGGCTGACAGAATGTGATAGAATTTTGAATGCGTAACATAATGAACTTAATTTAGTGTTTAATTTTGTTATATGTACATTCCATTTGAGGTTTGACTGAATTGACAGACCTAGAAATTTTGTTACCCAAACATCACCTAATTGTTATTCATTTTCAATGGAGCATGCGATTGCTGATTTGAAAGGCAAAAATGCATTGGTTATGGAGAAACACGATGCCTTAAGATGATATGCTTATGCCTGATCTAGGACAGTTTATACTTCCTTGCCTTATCCTGACATTACCTGGAATGAACCCTCAACATGGCACAGTTCCTTCTCCAAAACAGTTCCCAGGAAAAGCGGCAGCAGATTTACATCTTTAACTGCTGAGCTGATAATGTCACAGAAGAGAATCCCTTCTTTTGCCCCCTTTGTCAAGTGTGTGTGAGGATTATATGAATGAGTCACCTGACTTAAAGCATAGAATAATTTATCATTGTAACTTGTGACTGTTACTGGTAGGGGAAATAATTTTTGTGGAGCCAATATTTTGTCTGGTATAATTGAGAAAAACTTGTAAGCAGGTCTCTTACATGTCAGAAGGAAATGACTATAATTTATACACATGGTCTAAACATCCCGTATTGTCTCTTAGCATATAATACGGATGTAGTCAAATAATTTCAGTTGAAATATTAATTTTTAACCACTTAAATCTATGTCAAAAAGTAATGAGTTATGATTATCTCAGAAAATTAAATTTATAGTATTGTAGACAATACAAATGTAATTTCTTTATAAATTGTCTTGCTAATTATTCAAATCCATTTCAAAGCAAACAAAGCAAAAAAAAAAAGTTTCATATTTAACTGAAAATGTATAATAAGGGAGCATGAGGGCAAACATTTTTAGTCACACATTGGGAACATTGGCATTAATAGAGGTAAATTATACTGAATATTTGTGAATGATGATGGAATTTATTTTTTTGCAACTAGAAATCTGAATTACAGAAAACCTTACAGCAAAGGAAGAATAATAAAAATACCATTAACATCTTTGTAGATATCCTACCAAGTGCTTCAAAAGTACTTAAATATCCATTTTAATTTTTTTCTTATTTCTGCTTTATTCACAATTAGTTCTACAATTTGAACTTTTGATGAATTCATTTAAATGAAAGTAAAGTTCGAAGATGCAAACTCACTCTGTTCCAAATAAAGAATGTTAATTGTAGAAATGTGACTTGTGAGATAGATCTTGAAAGTCATTTTTCTATCAATCATGTTCCGATATTTTTAAAATGCTAAGGAAACAGTAAAAGTAGAATTAATCGAAAGGAAATTGAAACTGAAGAAAATTAATGCAATGTGTCACTGTTATCTCTCGAAAACTGTTCCAAGTAAATATATGTTTTTGTAGAAATTATTAATCTTATGAGAGTTAAATATTTCCAGTGTGAAAATAATAGAAATAGATAATTGTTAAAGTGATAAATGTATAAAATTGAATAGAACTATTAAATTGTGTATTTGTAATAATCATTTTGTCTTTGGAGAAAAACAAAACAAAAAACAACCAGACCAGAAAATTGATAAGAAACATTGAGAGAAGTGAGAGTGAAGACAGGAATAGAAATGTATCCATTGATGTGTCATCAATCTGTCACCCATTGAATAATTCTCAAAGTAATAATCGAATACCTTTGAGGGAAGATTTTAGAACAACAGTATTTAAAAAGGAGATGCAGAAACATGGTGATTTATTAATAAAGAATTTTTCGCATCATAATTGTGAAATATTTGATTTGGAAGTTGATATATGTGCTATTTTTTTAATAAATATGATAATTCTAAAAGTGATAATTTCTGTAGAAGTTTAGTTTGCATATAAGAAAGTTGTGAGATATTGCTCTACTAAGGCTCATGGGAAAAGATTTGAGGTCATGGTGCAACATGAAGAAAAGATTTATGGCTCTTCGGAAGATATTCTGTGATTGTATTTGTAATGTTTTGAAAGAATATGTGTAATGTGTTTCAGAATTTTTGACAGTACTATAAGAAGCAAATTAATTGTAACTACATTTTTTTCTTCCACAGACAAGAGAAGATTTGCAATCGTCAAATGGAGAAAATATTTGTTTTGTTTGCAACAGTAGAAATCAAAATATTGTTCCAAATAATGCATGCACAGAAACTTCTCAAACTGAATTGAAACAGAAATTGGTCCTGCTTGTTTCTGTGGAACTTGATTTGCGACTTGAAGATATTGGATCGATTTGTGTAAACTGTGCCCAAATTCTCAATTGTATTGATTATGTTGAAAACATGCATAAAACTTTGAGTAAAGGCATTTTAAATCATGTGAAAAGAAACTTTGGAATGGAACCAACAGAACATGTTAATTTAGATCTTTGTATGAGTAAGTACATTCCTATATTAGCAAAGAAAACGTGAAAGGATTTAGAATTACATTTAGTGTACCCTTCATTTTTCTGAAAGATAATTTTTTCTTTCTTTCTTCCTTTCATTCTTTCAGAATCTCTGAAAAATTTTACTGTTTGTAATCCTTGGAGAGATGTGGTAAGTATTCTTTGTGTGTTTGGGATGATGCTTCATTTTTTGGGATGGAGGGCATGCTGAACTTGAAGAACATTACACATACACATTGGAAATGTATTTTTGAATTGTTAATATTTTCTTTACTATATTTACTGGAACAAAGCAAGAAAAAGTAGTAGCTTCTTGTAACTCTAGAAAACGTACACATATAGTGGAGTTACATTTATGTCCAGAAGAAAAACAAAGGGCCATCTTAACATTGGCTCAAAGGGATGTTTAGTGGTTTTAGTGGTGGAGGAGTTAGCTGCCCAGATTGTTCTACCCAAGTTTGGAGGTTCAAATCTCAGCAAAGCTATGGACATTTAAATGCAAAAAATCCTTTGTGTACCTTTCTTCAATTGGGGAGTAAAGCCTCCTGTCCCATGTTGTAGATTTACTGCATATAAATGATCCACAAGCCTAAATGAATCCTCTGAACTAAATTTCAATCGCCTGTTTCATGTCCTGAGTGATACTTTGCACTGTTCATCGGCAAAAGGAGTGTGGACTGCATAGTCAGACAAAGTACAGGCCTGATGGTCTGAACCTCACCACATAAAATAGGACAGAAATGAATTGAATTGAATTGAATTAAGGCTCTCAAGATAATAATGGCAGATTCCAACCGACCTCTCATTTTCACTTAGGAATATGATAGTAAATTCCTACCATATACCTATCTTATGCTGAAATTTCTAATGAATTGGGATGTGGAAACCCTCAGATTCCTTCAAAGTTTGTCTGGAATGAAAATGAACATGAACAAAAAGAGAAAGTATTTTTTCTTAAAATGAGCTTCAGTGGGATCTGCCGTAATTAATCAATGCCTCAATTGTAGGTATTGGATCTACTACATTTTCATGTAATATATTTCAAATATAAAAAATTCCATTTGTTAGGAAGTCTTCTTTGAATTTTTTAAAAATTGTGTTTTATTTAATTTGTATTTATCTCTCAAATATAGACTTCTATTTAATTTAAAAATCACAACCAATTTTGGACTATCAAATTTATTTGTTAGTATTGTATATGTTCATGAGCTACATACTGATATATACGCACATGAATACATACACATACACATATGTATATTTAATATCATTTAGTTAATCAGAAAATTATTACTCCAGGCTATTCATGAAGGCGTTTGGAATTTTCTTTTGAATGCAGTCAGCTATAAGTATTTTCCATGCATTGACAACAGAGTTTACAATAAAGTGAGAATGTTGTCCTAACCTTGTTCTAGCTTTCATCAACTTTATTGTATGTCCTCTAAGCCTAGGCTCCATGGCTGTTAAAAAGAAATTGTTAAATTCAGAAATGTTATAATATCCATTGATAATTTTAAAAATTTCTATATCACCCCTGTTTCTCTGTCCTAATGTCAAAAGTGACATTTCTCAGCATCTTCCTTCAGCCTAGAACAGAACCTTGACAGAGACCACTTGTAATGGTTCAGAGCTTTGATAAAAAGTTTTCAATTGCTATCTGCAATGGTCTGTCTGATATATATTCATTAACACACCTTAATAGTTTTTCTCATATACTCAAGGATGAGAGTTTGTTAATAAAACTTTTGTGCAGGACTTAATCAAAAACTTTATCATAATCTAGATAAATGACGTCTGTAGACTGAAGAATGGTTTCTTCTGATCCAATTCTGATCTTGTCCATACTGGAGTAAATTGGTAGATGTTGATTTTCCAGGAATGCAACCTTGTTGTCTGTTTAGGGATGATATTACTTCTAAATGCTTGATCTAAAGCCTTTGAATAATTACCCTTTCCATAACTTTGCCAACTGTGCTTGTCGAACTTATTTGTTAGTAGGTTTTTAAAAAGGCCTTTCTTGATATCAGAAGTAAACAAATTTTTCCACTTAGATGGCAATGTTCTTGATTCTAATGATTGTTTGAATATTCTGTTCAGTAAAGGGGCTAAGTGCGGTTTTTCAGATACACAGTTCATACAGATACACAGGGATACCATCAGGACCAGTGGACCATCAGGACATTTAATCCACACGATATCTGGGCAATTTCAATATCTGAAAATTCTATATCTTTAGTGATTCCAGTTCATCTCTCTTCAGTAGTTGGTAGTGAGCTTTCAGGTTCATTACCAACTATTAAAGTATATGACCCGGTATATGGTTCTTCAAAATTGCTTGAAAAACATTCTGTGATTTAATCTGGATCACTTATTACAGAATCTCCATTCAGAACAATCATATGGGAACCAATTTTAGAGTTAGTTTGTCTCTGTATTCAAGAAAAAAATCTTCTACCACTATCCTGAGCAATTTGATGTATTTTATTTTATTGAGGGTGGAGGGGGAATTCTGTCCCATATTAGGGATGAGATCGTTGTAAATGTTCCTACAGATGATGCAACTTTCATCTGCTCCAGTTCTCCTATAATTTGCCCATGCTCAATGAGCTTAGATGGCTCAGGACATCAATTGATGTCACTGCAGTGCCTCTGACTGGAAGATCCTAGGGAGGAGGGGTTCGAGCCCCAAAGATGGCAGGATTTTTGACACTAGCTACATAGCTAGGTCAAATTTATGCTGTCTGGATGAGAATTCTAGCACCTGACTACTCTGAGTAGTTTTTTGTGGTTTCCGGAGTGGAATGCTGGAGCAGTACTCTAACGAACGGACCACATACCACATTTACACTTACTTTTGCACATCTACACTTACTTTTACTACTATACGTGCTAGGAAACCAATCGGGAGGTTAAAGCTTGTCCTGGCTTAGGTAGTGCCTCACTGCTGGGAGATACCTGGTTGAGGAAACCCTGCGAGCTGACAGTAAGGTTAGTGTTGGATCTTGTCATCCAGCAGAGGAAGGTGACTGTCTCCTCGCATGATAAAACATGCACTTAAGGGACCAATGACCATAGTAGTTGATGCACCCAGAATAACTATGCGATCAATCAATCAACCAACTCATGCTCCATGCTTCAGTCTGCTTTGTTTTATGACCTCAAGATTAATCCAAGGTTTATTTAAATTTGTTCTCTCCATGGTATCTCGTGAGTGAGTATTCAAAAGATATTAATATACATCACAGAAGTTCTCATAATTACTTTCAACATCATTTGTTTCATTGTCTTCGTTATTAGGCAGCTGCCTATGGCATCTCCTTGCTGACTCTCTCAGAGAGATGCTAGTAATGACAAATCATCTCTCTTTAAGCTTTTTAGCTTCCTTTTAGATCCATTAAAAATGTATTTTATTCTTAAAAATTTTAATTGACCACCTTGCTCTTTTTCTGCCAAATAATTTATTTTACCATCATTTAAGGTAAACATTAATTTTACCATCATTGTAAACAAACTCAAATATATTTCAAAAAAATACTGAAAAACAGTTCTCAAATAATTAAATTTTATGCATTATAGTATTTTCTGTCTTAAGGTATTTCTGTTTTAGGAAAGCATTTCTAAATATAACAAAAAATCTTTGACATTAGTTAAAGCATGGAGGATAAGCATTACTATCATTTACTGAAAATGAACTGTCAAAGAGTCTCATTTCATTTATCATACATCGTCTCTTTCATCCACTACATAATTTCTTTGCAGTATTATTTAGTTTTGGTCAAACTGTATATCAAGAAATACTCTGTACATCAATATTTTTTTAATATCTATTATATTTGTGAAGAAATAATGTACCTTGTTTTTAATTTTTGCCATTCAGTTTCTGTAAGTTTATAGTTCGAGTAATTATTTCTTCAGGAACTATTTAACTAATTTTCAGATATGGAAGGCAATTTAAAATAAAGAGACTGTAAACCGAGTTGGTTTTGATATAATGTTTAGAAATAATTTTTTGCTAATTATTTCATTATCTAGCATTACTTCTTTTCACATGTTACAGTTGTTTAAAATGTATTCTTCTGTCCAAAAACTTAATGTTTTTGATGATTTTCGTTTTAGGACGAATCCAGGCTCAATCAGAAGCAAAAATTAAATATGTTGGTAACCTCAGAGGCCCAGCACAGTCATCAGTCTAATAAATCTTCGGAGGTTCCTGATCAGTTCAGTAAATTTAAGAAATTGGATCACAATGAAGAAAATCAAGAAATCATATTACTTGAAAATGGATTAGCAAATGCAATTAAACTTGAATACTTGGAATGTGATATATGCTCTTATAAAACAAAATTTCAAGCTTTTATGCTTTTTCATGTACGTCAACATTTTCAGAGCAAGTATGCTTATGATTCTTGTCCAGTAGAAGAATGGCAGACAACTGATGAAAGTTGTAAAATAATAAATGATTCTGAATGTGAGAGTGACAAGTTAGATGAAATTCTTCCGCAACAATTTTCAAAGCCTCGGAAACATCGCAAACCACTCAACAGAGACACTTTAGAAAAAAGAAATGTGGTGATGACAGTGAAGGGTAAGAATGTGAAAGCTCAAGGAAGATGCAAAAAGGTTAAATGATCTAAAGAAGTGCCTCCTCAATGTTTTTCCAAGCCATAGATGGACTACCAATAACACTTCAGGGACAGTTTAAAAAAATGAAATGTGAAGATGCCTAGGAAACGTAAGAGTGTGAATACCTAAAAAGTGACAGAAATAAGCAAACTAATATTTCCTATAAATTTGTAGATGATTCTCAACATCTCACTTTACACATCAAGGAAAAACAAAATAAATCTGTTGTAATATCATTAGTACCAAGGCTAATGGGGAAAATTACTACTCTGAAAAATATGAATGAAAATGGTGTTTTATTAGAATTTATGTATTTACACGATGTTTAATACTTATTTGAGAAGGTGAGCAATTTTAACTGAAATTCTTTGCTATGGATACCTTGCCATCAAATAGAAATCCTTCCAATTCTGAGGACCTTCACAGATATTATTTTGAAATTTTGTAATGACAATTCTTTCACTTTATTCATTTATCTGCTGAATTGAAATAAATTGAGACCCCCTCATTTTCAATTAAATTGTAAAATTGTTATCTTGTGGATGATTTCAAATTTATGAACTATGAATAGATATTCAATATTATAACATAGTATGTAAAATGTTGCATAAATCTCTTGATTAGTAAATGCTCAGAATAAGGAATGGAAAGAGAATGATATTGAATTCATTCTTCAAGATGAGGAGGGACAATGATGAGGTTTAGCCTGTATGGTGATGAATAAATATTGTTGTGTAAAGATATAACACCTTTCTATTTAAAGGATGTCTGGCAAAGTGCCAAATGTACCATGAGTGTACATTCCAAATGTATTCAAGAGGGTAAAGATTTGAATTTGAATGTTAGTTTTCAAGTACGGAGTGAATAGAAGAGTACATTTTATTTGAAGTGGGAATTGCAAGAGATATCTTTGTATCATTTGGAGTATTTTATTCAATGTCTTTGCCCCAAAATCTAGCTGATGCAATTATATAGACATTCAGCTCTCCTACTGCAGTGGAGTTTGTATTGAGTGATATGATTTTTGTTAATTTTACGAGTTCTTGGTGCTTTCTCTTTATAAAAAATAAAATATTATGCTAATTCAATTCGTTTTGAGTTGATATGTTTTGTTGAGTATGTGTTGCAGTTAGTTCAGAAATGCCAGTTAGAGGAGAATCTGAAGAAATTCTTAGTGAGGTACTGGTTTAGAAAATTCCAATTTGAATAGTACTTAATAATTAATTATTCCACCTCTATCTGAAGGGTCATTTTTTGGCTACATGACAAGATTCATGTTTGATGATTTTATTATATGGATGAAAAATAAGAGGATTATCTGGATATAATAAAGCGATCATACAATAAAACTACGTGAGACAAATTGTGACATTTGCTATCAGTACTAGTTCATACCATTAATTATCAAAATTGAAATTTTTCAATTTTTTTTTGTAGTTTAATGGTTCAATCATTTATATTTATTAAGCATATTCTTCCTTGTATAAGAAACAATATACTGTATATAAATTGTCACAAAGTGAAAAATATGTTAATGAGCACCTCAATTTTCAGTTTTAATTAGTAATGGTCACAATTTTAAGAAAAATTTGCACTGCAATTGAATAATTTATTTCAGAAACCCCTCAAATGTCAAATTTCTCATTTCTAGAAAATTGGAAAAAAAGTTTCCCAATATTTCTGATTTCAAAATATTTTTATTTATTAAAGCAGTCGATAAATGAATATTTTTCATATAAATATACCCTAAACGATGTGTCTATCCTCGTGGAACAATAATCTGCCGCCAATGTGTGTTTTAGATTTTGCTGTTTGACGGGTTTCTGAAATAAATGATTCAATTGCACTTGATGAGAAAGTACAAAAAAATTTGTATTAATTTTATTAGTGTTATATTTCAAAATTTATGATAACTATTGTCAGATATAGTTGGCAATACTGACTGCACCTAATAATAAGATTGGGGACAATTTTCGAATGAAGATAGGGGGCACAGGCAAGAAAATTTCTGACTATAAACCATGTACATGCCATCATAGATATCACAAGGGCATGATAGTACGGCTCCAATTTAATTGGATTCTAGAATTTAATATATAATCAGTTTTGAATATTTTCTTCATAATTTAGAGATTTGATCAATATACCATTGATGAAAAAATATTTTCATTTATTGTAACCATTTATACATCAAAACTTTCTAATTTATTTACTTAAACAAAGTATTTTGTGAATATTTGTCGTTGCGTTTCGATAGCGTAGACGCAATGCTCACGGCGAGTAGACTCGGAGGACCTGAGTTTGAAAAAATGTTGCTGGTTAAAACCTTTTTCAGTTTTATGTAGCAGTATAACGTAGTGAACTAGTTAGAAATAATTTGACAAAGTAATTGGTGTTGTAGTACCACATACTTTCTCGTAATATTTGCATGTAATTTTCGAAAATTCAGATATTTCAACAAACTTGAGACCCACGCCATTCTTTTAAGAGTGGAAATAACGTTTAATTCTTTTATCCGTGGAAAAATGTAAAAAAAAATTGCAGCGATGTTCGATAAAATATAATTTTTTATAATTTGCATTAACTTCAAGCAGAAATTGCATGAAAACTACTCGTTTTTCAAGAAGGTGTACATTAACTTTTTCAAAGATCTAATTTTTTAGAACACATTACATTTAGGCTGTTAGAAATCATTGATCAAAAAACGGAACAGTCAAATTCAAGGGTTAGTTAACTCAATCTAAAATATCCTTTTGTGAATTTTTGTTTTTGTTACTTTCTTGTATATACCGGTTCATAGAGAAGTTACGTAATGCTGCGAAAAATCGATTTCGCGATTTAAACGGAAAAATCACGTTTTGGCGTTCGCTGATACTGAATTTTTTTTTTTTTTTTATCAAATGTCCGTCTGTTTGTGAACACCACTAGCACATAAACCATACGTAAGATTTTTTCCAAAATGGATATGTCCATTTGGCTCGACTTGAGGCGCTGCGATTTTGAAACTCTTTCTTTAAAATTCGGGGGTACTTATGAAGCCCGCCCCCCGAACATTATAAAAATTTTCTCAATAATGGCTCAATTTTTTTCTTTAAATTTCTTGTAAAAATGGAGCACTAATAAAGGTGGCATAGATCCGATTTTCAGGTTAACTCTGAATTTTCGAAAATTGCAAAATTTTCATTTTTTCAGTGTCTACAAAATTGAAGATAGAGATTTTATTTTACGATAGAGATCAATAATCCACAATACATGAATTCTGACACGTTTTAGAAGAAGTAAGTTACTATATGTAGGAAGCAAATGTATCAACATTTTTCACTAGGGCACGTCAATAAGCGGTTTACTTTAAAAAAAAAAAAATGCCATTTTCCGGCGTTTGATTACAATACTTTCTGTTCTTACGAAGGGCGAGAAAGTAAAACTGAAGAAGTATGAAGATTCAGCATTCTATTTCCTGCAAGAATCACCTAATTTCATCGTGGATCCCGAAAAACTAAAGGTACTATAACAGCATGTACTGTCTCGCATTGTTTCTAAAATTGCAATTTTCCAAAATTCAGTGAGGTCAATAACAATGAGACCTCCACCATTCTTTTAAGCGTTCCTTCGTCTATTCGTGGTAAACATTTGTAGAGGTTTTAGAGAAAATATTTTTATTTTTATAAATTGCATTTAAGTCAAGTCAAAATTACGCGATAACTATTCGTGCAAAGTGCAAACCTGCACTTTTGCAATTTTCGAAAAATCTGGGTTTTTAACGAATATGAGACCTGCACGTTCTCTTAAGCGTACATTACGAACTAAATGAGAGTTGTTGGAAGTTTTCAGGTTTATTTCTATTGCGTTAAGGGCGTAAATGTTTAACATTATTTTGCAATTTCAATAATTTTAAGTAGAATTTATCTTCTATGAAAACGTGTTACGTAGAATATTTGTATTTCTTTCTCATTGAAACGCAGTCAGAAGTGGATTCTGGTATGAACCGTATCCCAAATAAGGAAGTACAAAGATTCAGCCTCGCCCACCTATAGCAATTGGTTTTGTCCCTCTAGGTTCCGGTTTTCAATATCTAACTACTTAGTTCCACTATCTTTATCGTTTTCAAAACTCCCTTGTACTTGAAACGATATGTTTGTTCCTAAATGAATGTTTACAGTCTCCTACTCAATAACTCTTGTAATGGGATAATGTTGGGTATTCCAGAAGAAAATATTTCATTCCGTAAGTACTTTTAATACTTACAGAATTCGTACTCCAAAGTTCACTGACAAAAGAAGTCATGCTACTCGAAGCAGAATGTTGAAAAACTTTTCTCCAACGCTTCTTAATGTACATTTTGTACTTTATCGTCTTCCGTTTCGTCCGTTGTTTCTCTTTGAACCTAGTGGCGGATTTACACATGGGGCGCCCTTGGGCACTCCACTCCATGCCATTTTCTTTTTCTATTCACTAACTTTTTTAATAAAGGCAAAGTTTCAATAAATTTTAAAGCATTTATTCAATTAATAAAAATACAAATTTTTAATAATAAAATGAATAGTATTGCAAAACAATAACTAAAATCTATCGCGTTTTGCTAATTGTACTGTGAATTCGTCAATAAAGATTATTACAGTATATTGATATTAAAATTACGGATTCTATTGCCAACAACGTAAACGCGTTTAATCGACCTTCGGTCATTTTTGATCCGAGAAAAAATTTGACACTTTCAAACATTAAAATGATCTCTAAGTGCTGAAATTACTTATCAATGTGTAGACAATCGTCTGGTCAACATTGCACTACCCTATAGGCATTTTATTGGAGACAAATTGTCAATATTTTCCTAAGCGCAGTGTGCTTTATTTATTTCTTTTCGTCACAACAGTTAAAAACTGTGTGTGACGTGCGATAAGGAGAAGTTAATTTGAAGTTCCATTTATGTCCAGAAGCAAAACAAGGGCCCATTTCGCCATTTGTTCGAGGATCAGGGAAACTGGACAAAAACTTCATCGAGATGGGGCCATTTACCCAGAAGTTTAAGTACAATAGTTGGTACAGACTCTTTAGAATTATACAATCCAAATGTTAAATAATACATTAAATATCATTAATAACAGAAGGCTCATTGGTAAATAAAATGTTTCAATTTCAACTTACTTGCTGCAAGAGTCATGGGACGCTGTTTACAATACTGATGGCACAAACGATAAATATACTTGTTTTTCGACGCTTTCATTTCATTTTAACACTTGTTTTCCTCTTCTAAAAAGAAATGAAATTTTTCACGGAAAAGCAATTCTTGGATACTACAAGGGATTAGTACATCATGTAAAAACAAACGAATTCTTGCTTTCATTTCTAAGCATCATTACGTATCTCTAGATTTCGTTAATCTTCTTTAAGAATTACAAATCAGTGTTAAGAAAAGTCATAAGGCAGGCTAAAATCATGGAACATGATCAGGATAGTCTAAACTCAAACAATAAAACAAAAGCAATGTGGAATATAGTAAAAAATTCGACCAAAAACTAGAAATCGTGTAGAGAATGTTGTTTCAAAAGATAACTATAGGTATGTGAACGTTCCGGCAACAGTGGCTAATCTCTTTAACATATACTTTTCACAAATTTCTGCCGATCTTATTCAGGGTCTTCAGCCACAAAATTCCACATCAGGCGTTTCCCCAAAAATTTTAGACATGATGTTTGTTTCCGAAACTTCTTCCTATGGAATTCTCAAAATAATCGGTAGACGAAAAAATAAATATTCGGCCGGTTTAGATGAATTTCTGGATTGTTTGTTAAAGGTTTGCGCGCCCGCCATTATACATCCGTTAACTCACATATTTATTGTATCGTTATGCATAGGAATTTTTTACATACGAACGGAAACATTTCTTAGTAAACACGACGCGTTTTAAGATTGCCAACATGGGTTTCGAAATTCAAAATCTACGGAAACAGCCATATTTTCTTTTCTTAAAGATGTCGCCTTATCCATGGATCAAAACGAAGCACATATTGAATTCTTCTTAGATCTTTGAAAAGCTTTTGACGTCATCGATCATAACATTTTACTCTCAAAATTACCTTCATATGGAATTCGTGGTGTTGCTTTAGATTGGTTATGTTCGTACCTTTAACAACTGTTTCAGAGAGTAGAAATACCTTACTAGAATAATGAAACATGTT